CAATATTGCCCCCACCCCCTGTGCCTCCTGACACCTCCAGCCCTTGCGCTCTGCACCCACTGGCAACCCAGGATCTCATGCTCTGCACCCCCAGGCCCTGCACTGTGCCCCCTCATGCTCTGCATTCCCTGGTATACCCATGCTCTGCACCCCCAGACTCCGCAACGGCACCCCTGCATCCTGTGCTGTGCCCTGCTGCCACCCCTGGGTCATGCAGTGTTTGACTCAAATATATCACATATCACTGCCCCATGCCAGGAGGGGTGCCCCCATGTCCCAGAGGCACTGGCAGCGCATCCCCCAGACATGGTATGGCGTGTCCCAGGCACAGCGTATTGTAATTGTGTCTCAGCTGCTAACCAGTTGCATTCGGACCCTGCCACGCACCTTCATCCTAATGAGTCGCAGCAGTAACCCCATCGTCCAATCCCTCTTCTCGCTCTAGCAGTGCCTCTGCCACCTTGTGCCCAGCGCCACCCCGCCGCCCCTGGGGAGCTACCTGGGCCGCATGCTCACCAGTGCCCTGCAATCAAGGCCTGCAACTTGATGGTTTAAATCTTACAGCCTCTTTCCTGCTAAGGCTTCAACGGCTGTGGGTTGCCCGGGTTTGCATTTGTTTTTAATCGCGATTGCCATCTTCAGAGGGGTTTCCAAACAAGCTAAGAAATGTTTGCATTTGTGGTTGTTTTCATGGGCTCTTCTGGTGCCTCAGGGAGCCATTGCTGGGGACATAATACCTCCTGCATCACAGTTGCAAGAAAAAGCAAACACCAAGTGACTCAGGTTTATTCAGTGCCCAGCCCTCTTGTAGAGTGCAGTGGGTCCTCAGCTAGGGGATTATGGGAGCTGCATGAATATGGACAAAGGGGGAAATAGTGAATGTAATTAAAAACAAGGGGACATGGAACAGGGATTTCGGGTAAATGTGATTTTCTAGGTATAGTTGTACTAGTATGCAAACAGCAGCAGTGAAATGCAGCCATCTCTGGGGTGAAGCATGACACAGCAGGCCCCGAAAAGAGCATCCCTGTTCTACACCGGGGTACAAAGTGACTTGGATGTGTTTGTCAACTCTCAGCATACCTGTATGGGTGGGAAGAGGTTAGCCCAGTAGGTTGGGATCTGCATCTTTGTTGCCCAGGAATCTAGGTCAGTCAGGCTGGGGAGATAATCACTAATTGTCGATTGAAATCTGGCTGTATGATGCAAATGAATGGACAGCAGGACTTGATTGGAACAAAAGGCTGGATGAGGCTCATTGCTGGACTCTCCTGCCTAGCAGCTGAGGGAGTAGCTAGCTTCAGCCCCATTTTACAGGTGGGTAAATGGAGGCAGAGAATGGTGAAGTGGTTGTTCCAAGGTCACAACAAGCCAGTTAGCAGGGCTGGACCCCTGACATCTAGTTACCACTGGAACCGTGAGTAGGCCCTGCCTGGAGGGCTGTTGTGTGACAATGATTGTGTGCAGCGCAGCGTGCAGAATACAACTCAGGTTGTTGTGTAGTCTCTGCTCGGAGTGATGGAAAAGGCTCCTCTGGAGAGCAGGCCACTATCTTTGTAGCCCCATCTTCATTGTCAGGGAGACTCCACCCTTTTGGAGAAAGGGCTTTGTCATGTAAAGCCCTGAGCACATGTGGGTGCTACATAAACAAACTCCACCATTACTTTGGAAGCAGGAAAGGTGAGCTTGGTTCTGGCAGGCCAGTGTACACAAACGAAGCAACACACCCCTGGATTAGCTGGAGGAATGAAATACACAGGAGTGGACACCGGATCAGCTCATCTCTAAAAAAAAAAAAAAATCAGAGGGGGTGGAGCTCAGAATTTCCTGGCATGTGGCATGTAGGTGGGGTGGGATTGGAAGTTACTATGTGGACGAGTTCTTTACAATGGGGGAGGGGGGGTTCCTAATATTAGCGATGAATAGCCAGGTGGCGGTGGGCTGGCGGTCCTCTTTGCCTTTCCCCTTCCAGCCCAGGACACCTCCAGCGCCTCTGGGAAAAACACGTCATCTTCCATCACTGCCGGCCCTGGCCTGGCGGGGGGTGGGGGAAT